TTCCCCTATGAACGAACAGACTCCTAAGGTACTTAAGATTAAGACAATGTCCCCACCCTCGTTCCAACTCATGCCATTGACATTTTTCTCTAGACGGTTGCTAGACACCGAATCGAGGTACAGCACATTCGGTAGGGAACTCCTAGCTATGTATTGTGCTGTACGTTAATTTCAACACTACATCGAAGGTCGTGAATTCACTCTTTTTACTGACCATAAACCACTCACCTTCTCTCTAAGCTCTACTTCAGACAGTCACTCTCCCCGTGAGTCTCGACAGCTGAACCACATTTCTCAGTTTACTTCAGAAACTCAACACATCTCTGGAGCAAACAATGTAGTTGCAGACGCCTTATCTCGCATAACTTCCTTGAACAGTTTCCATGGCATCGACCTTTTTAAACTCGCCGAGCTTCGAAAAGAAGACAATGATCTTCAGCATGAGTTATCGTCTACAACCCTTGAACTACGCATCAAATAGATGAGAACAGGTAAGGAAACCTTACCGTGTGACATATCTACAGGAGGGTATCGCCCAGTCGTGCCGAAACCTTATCGACGCAATGTCTTCAACACATTGCACAGACTTTCTCACCCAGGTGTTCGTGCAACCATCGAGCTTATAGCAGAACGGTTTTGCTGGCCTGGCATGAATAAAGACGTGTGTGAGAGTGTGCACGCTCCTGTGTGAGCTGCTAAAAATCTAGGGTCATCAGATACAATAAATGTCCGTTAGGCTCACTTAAAACTCCCGATGCTCGTTTCGACGATGTTCATCTGGATTTGGTAAGACGTTATCCAGATTCAAATGGATTCTTTTATCTCTTAACCTGCGTAGACCGTTCCACTCGATGGCCAGAAGCAGTACCTATCAAGGACATCACTGCTGAAACAGTAGCCCGCGCCTTCGTCGAACGATGGGTAGCAAACTTCGGCTCTCCTTCAACCATCACTACAGACCGCGGACGTCAGTTTGAATCTGAACTTTTCCGTCGTCTGACCACACTTTTAGTAATCACTCGCTTCCGAACAACCGCCTACCATCGACAAGCAAACGGGTTGGTAGAACGTTTTCACCGACAACTAAAAGCTTCACTATCAGCTGCAAACGTTTCACAGTGAACCGACGCTCTTTCACTCGTCCCACTAGGTATTCTCAATTCAGTGGAAGCTGACATTGGATACACTGCGGCTCAACTCGTTTATGGAATGACACTTTGACTTCCAGGAGAATTCGTGGATCCTTCATCTTTTTCAGTGAACATGGATCTAACCCCCTACAACTACAGGCTTACAAACTCAATGCGTTCAGTTAAATCTATTTACACTGTTTACTTTTAGGCGAATGTGAGCATGTTTCATTTTTCAATCTTTTCCTCCACTGTTTTGGAAATAGTTGCAAGTGTCCATCCAATAATGGAAATTTAGTCGTGTTTTATTCCACATATTGAGTAGGCAATAATTATGAAGCTCCATAAAACATTATCGAGTAGTGGTCTATTGATACGTCCATGTCAAAATGAAGAAATAAAATTAAAACTAACACACTTCTATTTTCAAAGTGCCTAAAAATCATAATTATCTGGCAGTATTTTCTCGCCAGTTTTCAGTACTTTTAACAGTTTCAGCCATGTAGTTTGAATAAATATGCTAAATGTTTGTTATTTTTGCGATTCTAATCAAGTTCAGTTGGGCGGGCCAATTCTTATTCCTCTTCTTTTCAGCAACCGTAACCAACATATAGAGAAATGGTTCGATAGCAACCTTAATGCCGGCCTCTAGAATGATCGGTTTCGCATTACTACGACTTACTCACGCCTGTTACTCCTTGTGAAGGAGCATAGGCCGCTCACCAGCATTCTCCATCCAACCCTGTCCTGGGCAATCCTTTCCAGGTCCTTCCAGTTCCTATTCATTTTTTTCATATCTGCTTCTATTATCCGACGTAATGTGTTCTTAGGCCTTCCTATTTTCCGCTTCCCTTCAGGATTCCAAGTTAGGGCTTGTCTCGTGATGCAGTTTGATGATTTGCGTAATGTATGTCTTATCCATTTCCATCATCTTTTCCTAATTTCTTCTTCAGCTGGAAGCTGATTTTTTCTCTCTCAGAGAAGGCTGTTCCTGATGGTATCCGGCTAATGGATGTTTAGTATTTTGCGAAGACAGCTATTTATAAATACTTGTACCTTCTTGATGGTGGTTGTTGTAGTTCTTCAAGTTTCAGCTCCATAGAGTAGAACTGCCTTGACGTTGGTACTGAAGATTCTCACTTTGATATTGGTTGAAAGTTGTTTTGAGTTCCATATGTTCTTTAATTGTAGGAATGCGACCCTTGCTTTGACGAGTCTCGCCTTTACGTCTGCATCTGAGCCTCCTTGTACATCGATGATGCTTCCCAGGTATGTGAAGGATTCTACATCTTTCAGAGTTTCGCCATCAAGGGTGATTGCATTGCTGTTCTCCGCTTTGAATTTGAGGACCTTGGTTTTTCATTTGTGTATGCTGAGGCCTACTGATGCAGGGACTGCTGCTACACTGGCCGTCTTCGTCTGCATCTGTTCGTGTGTTTGCGATAGGAGCACTAGGTCATCTGCAAAGTCCAAATCGTCTAATAGATTTTGAGCTGTCCATTGTATTCCGTGTTTTCCCTCAGATGTCGAGGTCCTCATAATCCAGTCGACCACCAGAAGAAAAAGGGAGAGAGAGTAAATAACATTGTCTGACTCCAGTCCTTACTTGAAATGCATTTGTCAGCTGTCCTCCATGCACAACTGTGGTGTTTGAATCGACTAATGATACCTTTGTATTTGTTGATTGTACGGTTTCAAATTCCAAATACAGTACGTTCGTTTGTGCTTGTGTCTTCTTAATTCAATTGCGTTATTTCTTGGATTCTTAGTTCGTGCTATAACTCAAATAATCCGAAACACTATAACGACCTTGCACTGTAGTCCGTCGTATGAGTTCCGGATAATATTGACAATCTTCTCAGAAACTCCGTAGTGTCGAAGACGTTTCCATAACGTCCTATCCACACTGTCAAATGCCTTTTCATAATCAATAAAGTTGATGTATAGTGACGAGTTCCACTCAACTGATTGTTTGACGATGATCTGTAGTATTGCAATTTGGTCTGTGCACGATCGACCCTTACGGAATCCAGCTTGTTGATCTCGAAGTTGGGCGTCTACTGCATCTTTCATCCGGTTCAGCAATACTGTTGAAGACCTTCCTGTTATTGACAGTAGTGTAATGCCTCTGTAGTCTTCACATTTGCTCACATTTTCTTTGGAATGTTGACGAGGTGCCCTTCTTTCCAGTCCATTGGCACTTGTTCCTCCTCCCAAATCTTTTTAAATAGAAGGTAAAGCATGTTTGTGGTTACTTCGATGTCTGACTTCAGTGCTTGTTGTTGTCGGGTCCCGCTGCCTTCCCGTTCTTGATTTGTCGGACGGCCATCCTGATTTCTTGCTTCGTTGGTGGGTTGACGTCTATGGGAAGATCTGTGTGTGCTGCTTCGATGTCTGGTGGATTCATTGGAGCCGGCCTATTCAGGAGTTCCTTGAAGTATTCTACCCATCTGTTCCTCTGTTGTTGAATTTCAGTGATTGGCATTACTACGAGGTTCCGTCCAAATTGCCGGCAATAACCTATACATCTGTTAAACATTCAGTGGTCATCAATGATGGTCAGTTGTAGGTATTCCAAATATCACAATTCATTGCTCTTTATTACTACTCTACATGTTTACGGAAGGAGTTTATTCATTGACAAAGACCATAAGCCAGTATCAGGAGTAATTAAGATGAAACTCTAGTAAATAATTTAAGTGATTAGCAATAGACAAATTTTCTTTAAATCCCCCTAGACATTACCTCAGTCAAAGTTCAGAAGCGACACAAGTGTGAATTTTTTGGTTGCAACGTTGAAATTCTCATTTCCACAAAAATATCGCATCTTTAAAATAAATGAATTTTGGTTCCTAGATTTCATAAAGGTTTCATGAACCTTGTGTACAACATAATTAACCTATAATAATATGAAATAGTGTAATTGGCTTGATATACAATGGATTATAGTGGATTGATTTTATTCAGTACTATAAAGTAGAATACAGTACTGACTAGTAATCAGTAATCAAAAAATTCAGCTAAGATTGATATATATATGCAGTAACAATCAATGATAATAAGATTAAACATGACTATAGCTAATCAGGTCACATCAAAGGTCATTGAGGAAATGTGAATTATAAAAATTATCAGAATGGGTTTTGTGGAGATTTTAGAAATTTCACAGATTGAAATCATGAGTCAGTTGAAGCTAGACCACCAGGTTTTCAATGGTGGTCTAGCTTCAACTGACTCATGATTTCAATCTGTGAAATTATAAAAATGTTATGGAGATGATCATTTAGAAAAAGGAACTAACAATGAATAACAGAAGCTAAATAGCTAGACGGCTTCCTAAAAGAACCACATTCAAAAGTATTTCGGAAATCCAGCTTTTTAAATAATTTTCTTAAAATATGTGAAAATTTAAAACAGCATTTCTAATAAAATCATAGATCGACCAATATAAGACCACGACCGAAAATCTTGATGCACTGAATGATCGTTTTACCCTAGTAAGGGACTCCTTAATGGAGAACATCCACGATCCCACAAGTGGGAATCGAATACAAGACTCACCGTCTCGTGCCTTAACTCTTAACCGGTAGACAACTCAGTCAGTATCCAGTGGCTCGACTCCCGAACGCGGAGTCATGGATTCCCATTTCTAAACTCCATACTAGAACGAAACGGCTATCCAGTACTTCCAGGTTTTCAATGGTGGTTTAACATTGGACGGTTCATGTTTTCAATGAAATTCCCTATACTTACATGACATTTTTATCAGCAAACGATAATGAAAAACATTTTATTTTGGGTATGAATTTCATATTTAACCACAAATGTATACTGAGTCAAAAGTTAATTAATTAATGGAGCCATCTATTTTTAAACGAAAGACTTTTGTGAATTAGTTAAATAATAAAAGCGTGATAAACTGAACTCACTTCCAGTAGACATTGTCCCAACAGATTTACTAGACAATAATTCAGGAAGTGTTGTTATAATATTGAATTGGTTACTTTCATTCATACCGCCTTCACATTCCTCATTAATAGTCTTGACTGGTTGACTTGTTCGAATTAACAGAACTGATGGATTTAAAGATACTAATGCACCACTAGGTAAAGTATGCGCTGTAGTCATTACCGCTTCACTATGAACTTGGGTAATTTGATTTACACCAATCTTATTATTCAGAGGAGTTCTTGAACGTGACATTGTAGCTAGAACAGACTCATCGAGAAATTCCTTAGCAACATGACGTCTTGAAGGAAGTGTTCTCAAGCGCAAAGAACTTGTAGCTGTAGAATTAAAATAAAATATTCAAAATTAGTATTTACTTAAGAATAGACTAGAAATGTTTCAATTCGATATTTGTGGAGATTCGTCTGTACTTTGAATTGATCATTCTAATTCACCTTAAGGAAATGCTTTGATTGATGCCTCAAAAATCTGAAATACACAATGAATATGCCTTAATTGCTATTAACTTGATCCTAGGAAAGTCATATGATTTGAAAAGGGAAACATTAACAATCAGGTATTATAGAAGACTCGAACATTACATGAGGAATGAAAAGATTTAAGCAATTACACTTTTCGTTAGGATCTGAAAACTAATATTGTCTCTATCTAATATAAACAATTTTGTATAAAAATGATTTCTAACAACCACTAATTCTACTCTCACGCTTATATGATTAAGAGAATTCAAACAACGGATGTTTATGGCATTCAAATTTACATTTTTTTATATCACTAGAGAATCCATGCATAAAATATATGAATATGTAATGCATTCATGAATATGGAATGGTATTTCATCTATGACAAGTAACTAATATAAGTTAAACATTTGACTTGTGATTCAAGAAATTTATTAATAGTTCCGCGCTATTATTTTTATTTGCACAAGACATGACCTTAAAATTTGGTATTGTGGTGTTTTATGAAAGGAATATGTCATAAAAAAACGTTTTATCACAGAAAAGGAACGCTTTTCGTTCTTATTGAATCTCACGGTCTTCCAAGTGAATAAATCAAAATTCAAAATCTCTACATAACTATAGGTAATAACTAAACGCGACAAATGAGAAACCATGTACTGTGAAATGTGAAGTTAGATGCATTTTTATTTACCTAGAGTTTTTGGTGTACTGGAAGTATCCACATTTTGAACAGATCCCATAACAAGCGGATGATCTTCTTTAATATGTAATCCATCTAACGCAACTTTTTGTTCACAGCTTACGACGAATGGTTTAGCTAATTTCACATAGGTAACGGATGGATTTATATTCGCACTGCTAGAATCTGGAAGAAGACCTGCGATAACACCATTCGAAGAATTAGCTGACAATAATATTGGTGTGCCAATAATTGTTCCATCTGGTAATCGATCTAAATCCGAAGTCACGTTATTGTTATTGTTTCCAGTATTCCTCATTTCACCAGCTGCTACAACATAACGTGGTAATGGATAGTTTGCAGGTAGAATAGTCGTTAATGCTGAAACGTTTAATTGTGGATTGTTTCCAATAGAAACAGTGGCATACGCTACAGTCGGTGAGACGTAAACCTGTCATATGTATACAAAAATATATGGTTAATAATCATGCCATAAGAGTGAATCTGTTGGTTCTGTTATATTGACGAATATAGTAGATAAGAAAAAAACGTGAATCGCATCATGAAATTTACTCAAGAAAACTAGGAGTTGATGATTTTATTCCCTGAAAGTGGAGTTATCAGCTAATGAGTGGTATTTAAGGCATATATGAAGTAGTGTACACCACGTATAACGATACAACTCTGATAATGATCAGCAAAAACAAATTCCAAAGTTAGACAATTATAAACTAACTTGTCTTAAACGTTATGCAATAATGGTCGTGTGTAAGAGACTGCTTGACTTAATAAATGAACAAACCTCTGCTTCACAGACCATCAAACTTCATGCAGTAAATTCTTACTGAATTCGAAATAAGCAAAACAACTTTGCTAGTTGCAAGTGTCAAAGGAGATTTTAAGAACATTATACATAACCTTTAATTATAACCTATTTACCATTTAAATCGACCGTGCAAAATTCATATTTATTGAACCTTAATAATCCATAGATTCTAGCTAGCACTATGTATCTGGGTATTTTGGGCATCCCATCATTACTTTCGATATCTTAAAGAGACAAACGATCACGCTCAAAATCCAATATTGTTATAACAACGCCCAATTATTTGGACCATAAACATTGTTTTCGGTTACAAATAGTCATTCTTTGGTCAACGTTGTGATTATTATCATCACCATACTCATAGCCCTGTAAATCATTCTCAGCTAAACTAGTTAAACATTGGTAAGATATTTTGTTTTCAAGTTAATGTATGTTAATATAAGCATAATTAGTCTTGACATATAAAAATTTCACATTTACTTAAAAACAAGAAGTTTAAGGCTATGGCAAAGTACTACTCAGCGAATAATAAACCGGTCACAGTACATTTTCGTAAACCCTGTGTCAGATATTCGGATATATAGGAGATCGCACACTGATCAAACTTGGAAATGTAAACCTTTGGATTCGAATTCCGTGGTATAACAATACTGCTTGCTCATCACAATACCAAGAGGTCCCATGTCTGATCTCTAATGTGGTGATAAGTATCTCTTGCCGAGAAGCCTTGAACAAGGACAAAACAGCTCAGTTTCAAAGATTTATCAGTGTCTCACTAGCTGGTGGTACTTTCGTAACTAAAACCATCATTATTTACAAACAAGAGTTTACTTTTTCTATTACAACCAACCATAATCGGCGTCTTAGGGGTTTTAAATATCGAATATCAATATTCCTTGAATTATCTGTACAAAAATACCTTCTGCAAGTTTGTCAATTTATGTTAAATCCCGTTAGTTTTAGGACAGAAGATAGACGCATTGTTTTGTCATACGAAAAACGTAGAAAATTACTTGATGATTAACTGTCGAAAATGCTTTATGATTTTAAATGGATCAACTACAAATATGTGAATGATAAATGAAATGTGAAGAAAAAACCAGTGACAAATATAACCGAATTCAATCAGATATTATTATTGTCATAAACACAAAGTATCTGTATTGATATCGACTATCAGTAGTCATATGTTGCAATTTTATGTGTTTGGATATACGCTAATAGTCGATTATTGTAAATTATGTGGATTCGAAATGCTGAAAGTCAATTTTTATCCAAAAAATGTTATACGGACGCATCAACTTTAGGTTTCTGATAACATACAAGAAAACGCTGCGAAAACTGTCGATTCTTTGAATGTCATACAAGTCTTATCAAGGTGAACTCCCATTCAAATCATGCTTTGTGATACAGTGAATAACGGCCACTTTTGTGATGTACATATTGTATCACATTGAAAGATTTCATCTATAAATCAACTTGTAGAAGCACTAAATGAATGATAATTCAGTAGGCATTTACCGTTTCGTTCCAAATGGAAAATTAAGATAAAATACCAAATTCAGAAAATCAGCATTCAATTTCTACTTGGTGAGAAGAAGTGAATGAATTTATAAACGTAATAACTAATAATTTATCATTTCTTATTTTGATGGAGTTCTAGTCATGTCATGGTTAATAATTAAAGGGCTTGAGATAGCCCAAGTCTTGTCAATCCTTATGGAGAAGAAATAGTTACTCAAAGTTTCTCAGTTAATTATAAACATGATCTGTAAGACTCTTCTCAATATGACACAACTAATTATTGTCATCATTATTATTGTACGTAAGTAAAAAGAAACCTACATGTGCTTTTGTTTGATTGTTACTTTCAGATCTTGAATGTGGAGTTGATATTAATTCAATTAATTCGCACTGATTTCCAGAATTTGTGGATATATTAGCTACATTGACGTTTGATGTACATTCAGCTGATTTCTTCCTTGAATCTTTTTTCTCTCCATCTACTAAACCATCCTGAGAAAATATAGTATTTAGGAAACACATAAGAGAATATTGTTATTATTTAGATCTAATTAACTACTTGATAGTTTGTGATGTATAGTTTAATCATCAACCATAACATGTAACAATCAATTGGGAATAATAGGAACTGACTAAACTGAATAGCCATTGCAGTAGTAAGATAGTTGGATTTTATTTTACCAAACACTCATATCATCTGGAGAATCTTTTACAACCTAGAAACACTGTGTAAATTTATCAGCTCTTAAACAGGACTTCACAAAACTGTTCGTTTAAGATCCTACACTTGACGAAAGCTAACTTCAAATTCCGCAATCGTCCTCATGATGTATATTTTATAATGAACATGGAAAAATGTCGTTTAGCACAATTTGACAATAAGATCCACATCAACATGCATATGGTGACCAACAATTATTTTCCAATCTATTTCAATAGAAAACATTGATGCTACCATTCATAATTCTAAAATACATTAGAGATCTTAATGATCATGACAGTAGTACATGCATTATTCTAATGGACACAACGAATAATTAATAACTAAAATCATTAATGCTAATAATACCAATAGTAACTGAACATGCATAACTAGAAACAACATACAATTTCATGCTGTGTATTTTATTCTAATAAGATACTCAAAATAAGACCAAAATAGTAATGAATTAATGAATATTTGTTAGACACTAAGTAAAACTTTAGTTAGAAAAATATCTATGAAGATGATTTGTAACAAAATTTAACATTCAAAAACAGTAAACAGTTTTGGTCAACAAAAATGAAATCATCAGAAGGGGTTTGTGGAGATTTTAGAAATTTCACAAATTGAAATCATGAGTCAATTGAAGCTCAGTGGTCTAGTTGTTTAAGCGCCTGGCGCGGGGCTGTTAGGTCCTGGGTTCGAATCTCGCGGGGTGCGGGATCGTGGATGTGCACTGCTGAGGAGTCCCACAATAGGTTTTCCATGAAGATCTAGCTTCAATTGACTCATGGTTTCAATCTGTAAAAAACGAAATCATCATAGAACTTCATATCATTCAATGTTTGTAATAAAATATCCCGATGGTCGAATGAATTTTTGAATTAAAAAAAAGTGTAAATAAGTGCTATCTGATGTGAAAACGATGTAAACAGTAGACGACAAGTAGATTATACTGTTATTAATCACGGCAGATTCTAGACACATTCAATAGCACGGTAGATAAAATACAAATGTCATATAAAGTGCTAAGAAATCGTGACCAAATAAAATAAGTTATTTCTGATATTTAACCTCTAATGACTAAAAAGACTAAATTGTGCAAGTACAATTATGACATAAATGATTAGCCTTAAAATGAAGAAAAAAATCAAACTAAGATTGTTTTCAGTTCATTGGCAAATTAACTTATACAACGACTATAAATGTTTCTACACTTTCGAAACAATTGATAGTTTTTATTATAGGGTATAATGAAGGTTGCTAGATTCCAGTTTGTTTCACAAATTGTTGTTAGTTAAACAACTACTAACAGCAACGGAAAGCTATTTTGTCCTATTAGGAGATGCCTCAGTAGTGGTTTATATGTAAACCATTGAAAAGCAACAATGTGCCAAGGATTAGACACTCGTTACAAAGTCTGAGGGTCTCCAGTTTGATCACCGGTGGGGCAGTAAATGAACACTACTGAGGAGTCCCATGCAAGTGTTTCCCAGTTTCCATTTACAATTTTCATTAACATCAGTCCCTAATGTAAACTGTGAAATTAAGGTTTCATTTATTTTTAAATTCTCTTGTATATATAACATACCAACACGAAAGCACATGAATTTATGCATAAACACCACTTATTACGTTCAAAAAATTTAAAGTAATCAGACATGTAACACCATAAATAAATAAATAATGAATTGTATTATTATCAGTGTATAAATTACCTCATGTTTCAAAGAAATATAGTAAACTAGGTTAAAAGAGAAAAAAGAAATCACATTTTCAATTTGTGGTCATATATTTTTTGAATGCTTATTTTATATTCATTAAATTAAGTCAGCATGGGTAGTAGAATTATAACAATCCCTAATAGCAACTGATAACCATGGTATCTTAAACGTCTGTTTAAATTTCATAATCTGTTAAGCAACTTGACTACCAAACAATTATTTTAAAATCCACTAGGAACAAGAACATCCATTGAAATAATGGTACATAAAGTAGAAAACCTTGGATTGTAGTATATTTGTAAGTGCGAAAGATTGATGCTGTTTTACCTAGCAATCAGCGTTTGAATCAAAAAGTGTTTTCGCCAAAAAATTTGACTTCTAAAAAGTGTGTTATGTCATCAATGAAACAGATCAAATCTAGGGTTGTAGATAAATTTTTCGACTTAATATGAATCTTTACATAATGAGAACCATCGATCAAAGGGTTACATCTATGATGAATATTATCTGATTTAGTAAGTAAACAGTTATTTGTGAGCATTTTTACGTTGGGATTAAGACCACCAGTAGCATTCAGGTTGAGTTCTGTTCTATTCGGAGCACTTCAACTGGACATACCTGCATCCAGTTTAATTTATTAAATAAAGATTTGAATTTGGTGCTTTTTGTTTTAAGCGCTAAGGCGTTACCAAGTGTGTTGTTGAGTTTAAATACTTATAACTTGCTTGACAGGAATGAAGTTATTAGAGGTTGTTTATGACTTCCCGTTGTTGAAACTCAGAGATACAACTGATCAGTCTCTATATGAACATACATATTCGAGTACAAGTATATTCAGCTAAGTCCCATTTAGTATGAAACTTGAGTCTTGGATTCCAGCGTTAGTGACAATTCAAACATAGTGAAACATATGACAAAGGTTATATCAACGCAACCCTTCCATGATGCACATATGACAAGACGAATCGATCAATTTTAGCATAAAACTTACGCACAGTGAAATCACAAATCATTACTTCAAACAAATGGAAGCTGTAGGTCGAAGGATTTTAAAGAAATGAATGACATTTGAACTTAATTGGTTACTGACTTATATTAAATCGTACCTCTAGATTACAATCATTATGTATAGAATTTATCTTAGTCAAGCTTTATTGCCATTTCCAAATTAGAAAATTCATCATCATTTTTATTAAATTAGTAGAAAATTCAAAACACGTAGACAACTTACCAGCATCTGTAATACCTAAATCAATTGGTATTTTATAACTTTTAGTCCACCAACAAGAAAATATAATAGAAACAACAAATACAACTAGAACAAGGGATATAATAGTAACGCATAACAGTTGTAAATAGATTTTCTCTTCTTCACCATCATTACGATGAGATGGAGATGAAAACTGTGGATACTGAAAATAATTTTTTTAAAGAGAAAAGATAAGACCACACACAAAATGCATTATTTTCAAAAATCAGATAGCATTACACTCGATTGAATCGGGTCATACAGTTGATTTCAATGGCACGAGAATCATTCAAAAAGTATTTAATTCTTACAAAGAACGACTAACAGCCGAAGCCCTACATATATGGGCTAATTCAAACAATATTAATAGGAGAGATAGAATTCAACTAGCTGTCCCATGGCAACTAATAATTAATAAGTAAACCTGATCTCCTTTTTACCATTTGATATATTTATGCCATAGTAACTAATTGATAGATATTTCGCTCAATGATTCAAATCCGTTATCTTATCTGAATATGTTAAACAATTGACTGGAACATTAAAAATAACACACACCTTCAATTACATATACATTGCTCTTGTATTTTTTCTACTTATCTTATTTATCTACATTTAATGCAGGCTGTGGCATTTTTGATTCATTTCATATATAAAAAATGATCTGTTTTTCTTAATATACACAGACCGAAGGCAATATTTAGTTGAATGAAATTATTTTTTTTTCTCACATCACTTGCGTATAAACACATTCTGTTATCTTAACACATACCTTGTCCTTATGTTGAACAAAACAATTTGTCATAACCTTGAATTTACCTTGTAATCCTTAAGTCATTCTATGGCCTAGGATAACACGACAATTTCTCCCCTCTTGACAAATAAACTTTTATCAGAATAGGTTTTGTGGAGATTTTAGAAATTTCACAGATTGAAATCATGAGTCAGTGGATGCACACTGCTGAGGAGTCCCATACTAGGATGAAACGGCCGTCCAGTGCTTGCAGGTTTTCAATGGTGGTTTAGCTTCAACTGACTCATGATTTCAATCTGTGAAATAAACCTTTATTGTTCGACCTTTATTAATTTTCATATAAACATGTCTCTTACACATTAATACAAATATATATTTATGAAAATACTTCAAGTTGATTGGATGACTTATTCAGTATACAATAAACCGAAGAATCTTGTACCTATTTATATTCGATAATTTTGTTTTTTGATTATATTTTCCTTGAAAAAGCTTGGACCAGATTGCCAGGCGAAACGTTGGATTTACTTAAAATTCATTCGCTGAGATTTTACAAATATATTCTTCTTTTTAATGTCTCAAATGAACTCGGCGCCCAAATATTGTGAAACTATTCGTTTAAATTTAGATGGAAGTTCTTATTTCTTAGCACAAGGTTTCAATAAATGAATAAAGAATATTTAACATTCAATTATTTTATGTGTTATTCTAATCATTTACTTTTTTAAACGGAAAATACTTTCAGGAACTAATTCAAGTTCATATTATTATTATCATAGTGGCAGAAATTTTAGTTCGTACATAATAGGATAGAACTTGACATAATTTTATAGTTATATCCCATAAAATTAAAAACTCAGTACGAAAAGAACAACTTTCAAGTAAGATTAGATCAAATAAGAAACTCCATATACCTCTGACTGCTTCACATAGTCAATTACTTCAAAAAAGTTCGAATTAATTTTGTAGACAGTTCTATTCATCACAGCATAATCTGTGATGAAAATGAGTGAGCAAAGGTGATACTTCAATTGTCATCCATATAACAATGGAAGATAACTTATTAAATGCGTACAACTTTAGTATCCAATAAAGCGTAATATTTAGTTCTATTTGGAAATAATGGTAATAGCAGTCAGTAAACACATCTGGGTAATAGCAATATCATACGAAAGTAATGTTGTCAAAAATATTTTACTGCTCAGATTAAATTTTCTGGTACAGATTTTAAAAAGTACGACCTTAATCGCTAATTTTTGTGAAAGGGCAATCGCACTGTTTGCATAAAACAAAAGAGATCCAACAAATCCCTCGTAGAAAATTCACTGATACTGTGGTGTGTGCTACTTAAAGTAGGATTGAAATAACAAAGTTTAGTAATACGTGCGGAGGAACGAACAGTAGTTTTACGAACCGAATTGATGTGTCCGATTTCACCACACCTTAAGCATGTAGCATGACAAAAGACACTTTAATTACGTAAGTGGAATTTACCACAAGTCAAATGTTTACAATACTCATGTTCAACTCTGTGACCGGCTTCCAACTCCTCAATAAATGCTTATCCAGATTATTGTTCATTCAACGCTCACGCATATGAACTTGAGTACGCACTGAAATGGGATAACTAAGTAATGTAGTGGAATTCTTTATGTCCTGGAAGTCAGTTTCATGCACTGTCTCATTATTAATACACGAAGTGATAGCACCTTGAAAGGAACACTTTGGCAGTTGCATGAACTTAGAGGCTTGTTTCTGCAATTCAAAGATAAATTATCTAACCTTTTGATTATTTTGATTAATCATTTTATAGGATTTCGGTCTTTCATAGTATCCAAAACTAGTACACTTTACATTATTTAGTGATAGCTCCTGGAGAACTGTGAAATGTACTGAAACAGGCTTATTTTGGAATGTCAAAGTTCTTAGTAAGCTGTAAACATCCTTTCCGAGGAAAGTAGCGAAAAGAGCCACAATTTCACCTTCCTTAACATCTTCCTTGGTCATACTCCAGATTTCAAATCTTTCCATGTATTCTTCGAAAGCATCAAAATTCGAATTATTGTATTAACTAGAAATTCCCGAAACAGTGTAATTTAGGCTAAGTAGAACTAGGTGAGCATAAACGAACGTATTATATTTGGAATTCGTAATAATCACGCAACTAAGTACAAAGAAATCATCAGTTAGTACAAATGCCAAACTACTTCAGTTTTATCCGTTTAAAGCTAACACTAATTGGTCTTTCCTATATACCATGTTTCGCAGGAAAATTTGAATGTTCACGATGCTCATTAGTTTTGCTGTTTGCTAGTGATCTGGAAAGGATGTTAAAGCTTAAACATTGCACCGAAAATAAACATACTACTTTAAAAATTACTGTGGACCAGTGTAAATCTCAAATGTTTCTACTCCATAGACGCTAGTACTCATCAGCTGCCACCCACCATATTACCTAGTTTTGCAGTAAATGTCAACTTCTGGCAGTTATTGAGCTTTTGAATCGAAATTCCTCATTTTTTTGGTTCTGGATGAAGACATTATAGTATGTCATACTCCGAGTGATAACGCATGGTGGAATGTTTTCTGGATCTGAAGCCACTAAACGCTTCAGAAAAACGTCAAAATTCTTTCGTCAGTAGCAAAGATTTTCGAAACTAAAAATAAACAAGTCGACAGTGGAGGATACAATCAGTCTAGAAATACAGTCAAGTTTTGAAAATCCTTATATCACCATATAGTCAGAGTAATAATCATTGAGTTCCATTAAATACCCACAGGTCTTTAATGTTAGACTATGAAAGCAGTATTGACCTTTCCTAATCATTATTTCGATAACTGAAAACCTGATATAGATTTCGTAAATGGGATTCACAACGGTTGAGCAAATTTCATTTATTCCTTAGTTGTTGATTAGTGACAACAAAATTAGACAACCAGGGAGTTATACAATGATCCTCACATCAGTCACAATTATAAAAAATGTTTTACTACAACACATTATCAAGATATCTGGAGATGAAAATATATGACCATATACCAGGGTAAAACTAAAATTTTCCGAAATTTTCTCTTGAATTGAAGTCAAGTAGGCATTCAAGACTGATATTATTCATATCAACAAGGGATTTACTTGACTTGTATTAGTCATGTGATCATTCTAACAAATAGTAACTAGAAAAGCTTTAAACTCCCATAGTCCATTTAAAAACTGAGGATCTTTCATCAGTTTTTCTGTTTTATCTCCTGGTGAATAAAAATGTTTTGAACTGAACTTATCTCCATGATACATACGACTAAAAATAACGCTGTTCTAACTGGAGCCTAAATTCGACATGGATTATTGGTCTCCTGATGTAAATTTTTGACTAGTGAAGTTCATCTATGACAATCGCTTTGTTTAATCAGATGATTAGAGCTGAAAATGTTAACTCTTATGTATCAACTCAGTGTTTTATTTTTATCTTGCTTACTGCGAGACTTATAGGCCCTCAACGAGGCCTCAGATGACAAAACAACAGTCCTGTATATTCTGGTTTTCTGTGACGTTTTTCAGTTAATATCAGTTCGTGAAGAAATTATCTTTAAATATAAAAAATCCCATACAATATGATTATGACATTTAAAAATGCATAAAAAGTTATCTATAGTCTACAATGAAATTTTGATAGTTTCCAAGTGAAATATTACGATTTGAAGTACTTAGGTTTTAAAATTACAAGATCAATATGAACACAACGAGAACTATTCGCACAAAAGAAGTACGTCTTATCGTTATCGTCACCTTGACCTTAATTGTTATTATTGTTGTTATTATTATTACTGCATTCCGTTTTACTTACATTCTCTTTATTTTATTCACAAATACTCATCATATAACCTTATTTATTTTTACACCTATATGACCTTTAATGACATTTGACTATTCTAACGAAAACACATTAATCATCGTATTATATTCACTAAGTCTATTGTTATTATTCGTATTGCGTAAACTAGTACCACAATCTAACTATTACGTCATCTTGGTTATTCGTGTTCACATTTCCTCAAGGAATTGGTACTTTAACAAAAGAAAGTGACACATATTTAAGTCTTAAATAAGTCATGTGTCTACAATTAACTACTACTTTCAACTGATATATTTGTCAATAGTTAAAATCAGGAGTCACTCGAAGCTAGACCACTATGGAAAACCTGGAAATGCTGGACGGCCATTTCGTTCTAGTATGGGACTCCTCTCCACGATCCCGCCCTTCGCTAGATTCGAACGCGGGACTTATCAGTCTCACTCACGAGTGCTTAACAATTAGACCACTGAATCGGCATTCAGTGCTTCCAGGTTTTCCATGATGGTCTAGTTTTAATTGACTCATGATTTTAACTACTGAAATTTCTAAAATCTCCCTTCTGATAATTCTATTTGTGTTAGAATAATAATAATAATAATGATAAATATTTACTTACATATTTAAATTTCCAAATTGATGAATTCAATCCATCTAATGTTACATTATTATTTAAATTAAAATCAAAATTTATAAATAAATTTGGTTCAGGTACTGGATAAGCAAGTTCTAACCATCTCCATATAATTTCAACATAAAATTTACCAGTTTCAATATTATTTTTAATAATATAAAGATTACTATATTCAACTAATGCAATCCATAAATAAGCGCTTATAATACCTGTACCACGTTTTAATTCATTACAACTATAAATTAATTGATTCATTGCATCATATTTTGTAATTGTATAAAAATGTTTTAATAAATCTTTAATAAATGTTTTAGGTAAATTAATATTTTCATTAAAATTTTTATATTTTATATAATCCATTATACAATATAAATAAGGATTTAATAAATATTTAAATGATTCAATAAATAAATCAGGATTAATTAATACATAAAATTTTGGATATGGTCTAATTAGCGATTTCATTTGATCATTATAAGATTTCCCTTCATTATTAGGATTATGATTATTATTGTTCATTGAATATGAGTCTAATATTATAATTTTACCTGTATTATTTAAATAGATAAGTAGTTGTTTTAAATTTAATACATTTAAATTAAATTTATTTTGTAATAAATGACAAAAATCAGATTTCAGTAGTATAGTTGTATTCACTTCATTATTATTATTATAATCATGTTTGATATCATTTAAATATAATTCAATATCTGACCATATATATGGTAATGGTGTTAAACAATATGGTATATAAGTTGGAGTTTTAATTGCTAAATCAAATGATATAAAACATAATTGATTGAAATTAAAAATGATTTTATCATTATTATTATTATTGAATGAAAATGATTGAATAATTGGATAAATAAATGTATATAAATTATTATAAATATAATTTAATTGTTCATAATATTGTAACATGGATTTAGATATTTGTAATGATGATTCAATTTGGGTAATTTGTTCTTTTAACCAATATTTTTTATATTTAATATAATTCATTGTTTGTTTATATAAATAATTCATTTTATTATTTAATTCTATTGTAGATTGTATAAGATCACACTTAGTAACAATCATTATTAATTTAAGATAATTTAAACGATATAATAAAAGATCTAACCATATAGCAACTGATTGATAAAAATAATTATTTGATTTTTTTAATTTTATATTATCATCTATTATGATGGTAGAATTGAATTTTGTTATATCCACTACAATAATATAAATAGTTGATAATGATGTAAAATATGATATTAATGGTATATAATTTATATAACCAGAACAATCCCATAGTGTGATTGTTGTTGGTCGATTAATTTGTGTTTGTATATTTATGGGATTATTATTATTATTATTGTTATTTTCTTTTGAATTTGTATATAATTTTGATGTTAATTCAATGGCATCATAATGTATAGTATATGATTCGATACTATAAGTTGTTTCTTCTATACTTTCTGTCATATGTATTTGTTTATCTACTATACTCATAGCTAAACTAGATTTACCACAATTTATATCACCTAATAACATTATTTTAATACCATAATATGATTGTAATTCAGTTCTTGATTCTATAAAATATTGAATCATTGCATCAATGCCACATTCAATAATATTATATGGTGGCCATATAATTGGATTATCATTTAAATCAAGTTTAATCATTTCTGATGGTTTCATCTTTTTTAATTGAGCCATATTTGCAATCATTTTAAGTAAACTAGCAGGAAACATTCGTAATTTGTTTTTACTTAAATCTAACTGTTTTGTTATTTTAAATAAACCATCAGATATTGCATTAATTTGATTATGTGAAAGATCAATCTGTTGGATTGGTTCTTTAGAAATCCTACAATTTGATCTTAATGTAGGCAAATTTGTTATATTGTTGTGATCAACTTTTAATGTTTGTAAACATGGTAGACTGAATATGACAGTAGGTAAAAAAGACAAACCATTATATGATAAATCAATCACTTTTAGATGGTTTAAGTACTTTAAACGTGTACCAGATATCGGTTGTGTAATATAGTTATGTGAAAGATATACATATTCAATTTTTTTCAATGAAAAGAAATCATCATGTAAACTGGCAATTTTATTAAAATCAGCTCTTAACACTTGTAGTTGTGTAAGACCATTTAAACCTTTTAAACTTGTTATTCCATTGTTTTGAATATAGAGTCTTCGTAATCCAATCATATAATTAGATATTTCATAAGGAAATTGATCTTCAAGTTTATTATGATCTAAGTATATTTCATTGATAGTTTGAATCCAACATAAATCTTGTTTTACTGTATTCTCATTATGTTTCTGTTTTTTATACCATAAATAGACTGATTTAATTTCATGAAAAATATTCATTTCAATTTGATTATAACTAAGATTTAATGAAAATAAACGTGTAGAAAAATGTAATAACAAATCTGATGGAATTCCATTCAATTTTAAATAGGATAAATCAATTTGTTGTAAAATCGGTGCTATTTGTTTAATTAATGTAATCAATTGATTATTCCATTGAATTAATTTCAAACCAATACATTCTTCATAATCTGATATAGTAATTAATGTCCATTGAAGAAATTTATTCTTTTCTAAATGTATTAATATATTTTCATACCATTTATAAATTGTATTAGGATATTTCACTGGTAAATAATGTTTATTACCATTAGATCGTATTAATAAAATCGATGAGAAATCATTATTTTGATTTAAATCAATATTAGTAAATAGTTCATTTGATGAATTATTTCTGGGTAGCAACTGAATCATTTTTTCTTTTTAAAATATGAGAAGGAGAATTAAAAAAGAAGTCGGTTAATCGAATATTTTTTTTCTTTTTTGGTTTATTTTATGTGTTAATTTTATTTATTTGTTATGACAACGATAAATCCATAAATAAATTAAATTAATTAATTAAACAATAAAAATAAAATCTCAATTTTTAATTTGTTAATTCTTCGAAGATAATTGATCGATTTTAGTGCAATTCATTATTGAAATTTGATTGGCTCATAAAAACAAGATCATATATTTATATACGGAGTGATGTACAGCATTGATTATTATTTGATAAAAAATCTCCACAAAACCCCATTTGATAATAATAATCTGCTCACTAGTGACTGACTTCTAGAAGTATTTAATTGAGAAGCCGTTACCAATAGAGTTCAACCAGGTCTGTTTTGAGATATCGACTCACTGAAGACAATGGTGTGCAGTGGCGCCATTTTGTTTTCCATAGTAGTCTAGTATCAATCGGCTCATTATTTCAACAAATAGAATGAATTATTATGACTTATTTACTATAATAATTTATTCCCGTATTTTTAGCATCTATGGCAATTGTTTCAAATTTCTTAGATAATGAATTAAAAATATTCAATATATATTTCTTCCAAAAAAATTATTCTAATAACGAAACTTTTTTGAAAGTTTATAATTAACATTCGTATCGGTTTTTATTTGGTACCGACATATATATATAACAATAGTGATAAATTTTTTCATCATTTATTTACTTACCATATATACTTAGTTTCTAGTCTGATCACATATTCAATATGTAAATTTAAGGTGAATTCCTTTTCTTTGTTTTTAAAAAAAATTATAATATACACTAAATAAAACTTATTACTCGACTTACAATAAATTGTACACATCGACAATATTTCGATGTTAACAATATCGAAAATATAATCAGTTCAGTATCGATAATCATTTACGTGGCTTATTGTAGTATGAAGAGAGTTCTACTAATTTAAATAATAGAATGTAAGTTTGCACACAAACATACATATTTCAATAAATGATCATGTTTTTTTTTTGTGTATGGCATAGAAAAATAGATTGAGCAATAATTTCGGCTTTTTAGTAAGTTCTACACAAATATTTTTTATAAGCTAAATCAATCATGGATCACAATAGAAAATGATTATCTCAGTAGATAAGTATATTTCTTTTAAGGACTGGATAAAATAAACATGTGTTGCAACAAGAATCTCACATACATTTCAGATTGCTATAAACGGTGATGCTACTTAATTCCACATCATTAATAAAAAAAAGTAAATTAAAGTGTAACGCACAGCTTCTATGTCACTTTTCAAAAAGAACTGATACTTGAATTCCATTAAGACTTATGTGATCGGGCAATTTTATTATGAAAGCAGTTCCGATCTCTGACTCTGCACAACTTAGTCGTAAGTGATAAAAAAACTGAGTAAAAATAAAATAATTAATCAATGAAAAACCTGGAACAGTAAGAGAAATAAGTAGTAGTTTCTGGATCAAACGAAAGCTTTCAAATAGAGCTATGTAACAATATAATATCCCAAATGTCTAACAATTACACTGTGAAAATACAAAGAATAATTTCCTGTTAATTAACGCTGGAAGTTCAACCTTGTTCAGATCGTCAGTGATAATGACAGGTAAAGTATTGATAATTTTCGCATACAATAACAAATTCATTGTCTGTGTGTTATGTTTTTATTAGCATCTTTTAAGGAAAGTTGAAGATGAAGAATTAGAGATATCCAGTTAACAAATCAAATTTCTAAGGTCAATTAAATAATAATAATGAAACTACGACGGCCATCTACAACCAACAGGTTGCTTAATTTATTATATAGGGGATATTTAGAGTAGATGTCATCCACCACTGACGATGCCCTTTCATTCTGGATACATATTTTATATAAAAATCACTCTTTTTATAATGTCTATCCTAGATAATTAAATTACTGAGAGCCTGTCTCTCATAGACTGTCAATTGTCTGGTTAACTCTTTTTCTGTAGGAAATCCAATTTCAAAAAATATCTCACGAAACGTATTTTCCGCCTCGCTGATCAGTATAGATATGTGAACCGACAAGACTGTGGTAATAAATTTGAGACATTTTACTCTTTTAAAGTTGATAGTTTGTATTCATTTGTAAGCTGGCTCCCGATTAGACGATGAGAACTACGTTTTCAATGGGTTTAGGGGTAAAGAAGACAAAGGTTTACAGAAATACGATATTACACTCGGAAAAGTCGAATTTCCGGGGATAATTCATTGTGTATGAGAAATCACTATTTGTGCTTATGTATATGTTGGCAAGTATAATTAATGCGAAATTCATAATATGGAGTGAAACTGAAAGTTACGTAGGTGTGTTAATTGTGTGAGTAATGAACATGAATAAATTTTCATAAGGGGTTGTGCAGATTGTTGAATTTCAAGATTTGTTAGACAGTAATTAGACCTTAATTCTTGTTGTATCAGTAAAAATTCAATATACATTAACATAAAGAGACTCATTATCTTTTCTGCACATCTGAATCTCTAATCTTCAGTTTAGTTATTTATTATTTATAAGTACCATAAAGGCTATTACAACTACTGTTGTAATCATAAACTGAATATTCCTTCTAGACTATCGCATTTGAATCAATAATACAGTGTCATCATTACCTTTAATCAAAGTTCACATTAAGAACTGGATCGACAAACTAGTAGGATCCGACATAATAATATAAATCTTTTAAAACAACAAGCGAAACACAAATAAAACATAATTAATTAAATAGAACGAGATAACTTGTCTAAAACTATATTCTGTCTTTCAGTAAATCAATTAACTATGTTCCAATACTGATGAGTAGTATCAAAAATCGACAAAAATGTTGTAGAATAAACAGTAGGAATGTGAAATTTGTAAATAAAGTATAAAATGATGAGAAAATTTCTGATGTTTAATAATTAGAAGTTTCAAAAAGAGCACAAAATATTTTCACCTGTCTATTTTAAGCATTTACTTCACAATTTTCAAATTATCACAATCAATTTAAGTAGTATCTGAATAGTATAATAGTAGTAATTATATGGTACATTGTGAAAATCTAAGAAATGTGGGAAATTAAAGCTTTTGGGATTTTAGTTTTCCAGTCTACTGGATCATGATTTAGTCAAATGAAACGAAACAAGTAGTGTTCACTGTTAAATTTCTTATTCATGTACGTATAGATAAAAACTCCTGTAATTTTTATGATAAATCTTGATGATTACAAAAATAATAACGAATCTACGAAAGATCTATGATGTGGCAATAAAAATCACTATTGCAGTAACTACCGTGGTTAGTGCTTTCACTATCTGTTCAGCTTAATGAGGCTGTCAGACTGAGTGTTGAACAGTGAGAGAGAACAGTCATCATGAGACATAATAGAAATGGTCCCTTCATTGTCTGCTTAAATAGCTAAAATGTTTATTATATCCCAAAACAAATTTCCATATAATCACCGTATCATAATTTTATTTTTTTTTGTTATCCACTTAACGGATAAAGTCAGCATTATGTTACCTTCAACTCCTATTGGAATGGATCCTCCAGCTGACTGTATTATTTGCCGCATAGAACTTAACTCATTTGTTTACCAACTGATATATTGGTATGTAGTTTAAATTCCTGTGTTTGGAAAACATTTCAGTTTTCTTGAGCTTAACCAAGGTATTTAAAATGGAAGTCATACTTCTTTAGATATGATGCTTCAAGATAATATGATATGTGTATGTAATTAAGAACTCCGCCTAGAGTCACTCCGGGGGCTACTGCCGGTCCCAAGCCCGGATAAAGGAGGAGGGTTGAGCATGGAGTTAGCGTCCCCATCCCGTAGAAAACTAACTCGCTAAAAAACGGCTAACCAGAAAAAATTATTCAAACCTTTTAAACTCTACCCCAGGAGTCAGAAGGTCTTCAGTTAGAAGAACTATGACGCCTCATGATAAAAGCTGAGTTCCTCCGGAATTCATGAGGCCGATGCCCCTTTTGACAACCAGAGCAACCATTTATTTAGGTACATGGAATGTTCGTACAATGTGGGACACCGGGAGAGCCTTCCAAATTGCTGCAGAAATGAGAAGATACAACCTAGAGGTACTTGGGATCAGTGAAACACATTGGACGCAAGTTGAACAACAACGACTAACTTCAGGAGAGCTTCTGTTATACTCCGGCCACGAAGAAGAAAATGCCCCACATACACAAGGAGTTGCATTTATGCTGTCCAAACAAGCGCAAAATGCGCTTATAGGATGGGAATCTCATGGACCAAGGATCATCAAAGCCTCATTCAAAACAAAGAAAGAGGGCATTACAATGAATATCATCCAATGCTATGCGCCTACCAACGACTACAATGAAGACGCTAAAGATCAATTCTACAATAGGCTACAGTCAATCGTCGAGAAGTGCCAAACAAAGGACCTGACCATTCTGATGGGAGATTTCAACGCCAAGGTTGGAACGGACAACACTGGATATGAAGACATCATGGGACGACAAGGACTGGGAGAAAGGAACGAAAATGGTGAGAGATTTGCAAATCTATGTGCCTTCAATAAACTGGTCATAGGCGGCACCATATTCACATACAAACGCATTCACAAAACCACATGGACTTCACCGGATCACACCACGCAAAACCAAATCGACCATATTTGCATCAACAAAACGTTCAGGAGGACTATAGAGGACATGAGAACCAAGAGGGGAGCTGATATAGCATCAGATCATCACTTGCTGGTCGCCAAGATGAACTTGAAACTCAAGAAGCACTGGACAATGGGACGGACAATATCACAAAAGTTCAATACGGCCTTTCTTCAGGATACTAACAAACTCAACAAATTCAAGATAGTCCTCAGCAACAAGTTCCTGGCCTTTCATGATCTACTCAATGGAGAAGAAGCTACTGTGGAGAGCAACTGGAAGGGGATCAAAGAGGCA